ATGAAAAATATTAAAGATATTTTAATATTTTGGTTTTAATTAGGATTAGCAGCAATTGTGAAGCTATACTGTTATTAACAGAATATTTTGGTCATTGTATATCAATTTAAGTCTTTAGGGGAAAATATACTATTACTGTATACCCTATGACATAAGCAATTCACTTGTATATTGTCCTCAATGAAGTTACTTTTGGCCTGTTTTTGGAGACAACTAAACCACAAGGTAAACTGACTAAAGTCAAACAAAAAAAATTATGAGTTGTTCAAAAGACACAGGACTTGTGAGAAAGGCTGTGGATCTGTGAGGAAAAGAGCTGGGAGGCTCCTGGAAAAGGGCTAAGTCTGAGACCAGAGGCCAGAAAAAAATGCAAAGGAATGCTTCAGGTTTAGGGTGGGGAAGGCAAGTGGGTCAGGAGGATAGAGGACGAGGGTCTTTCTCTATTTAATGTCAGGAAGCCGACTGATCAGTGAGCTGAAGCGAGCTGCCTGGCGCCAGGAGCTTTAAGCAGTGCTGTGACTTTAACCGGCAGAAACCTATGTCACCTTCTAAGGGAGAAAGATGGAGAATAAAGCCCATGACAATTTAAAGCCAAATGAAATCACAACTTGCATCACAGTACATATGAATCACTATAGTTTGGTCAAGGGTTAGCATCAGCCACTTCGCTCTGGCTAATGTGAGGCTTTGTACTTGTACATGGGGAATAAAAAATGTCTTTAGTTCTTAATATTGGAGGATGCTCCATTTTCTTTTTCTAAGAGGCAGAATTCCAAATGATACTCACTTCTGCTTGTCAGAGCCCATTAAAACAAATGCCATGAGGTTGTTAAAATAATGTGATCCTATTGAAGTTGTGATGAATGGACCAGTTTGAAATAAGGAGGTGAGTTTTTAGAGGGAGCTTAGGGAGCCTGTTCCCGCCTCCCTATCTGCTATTCTTGTTAAAGTCTGAATGACTGGTCCTTGGGAAAGGGTTTGAGAAATCCTCTGCAAGTGGTGGTAAGATTTCTGGAGTAGGGGTCAAGAAGTATACTTTCCCATCCTTTTTATGAGGGAGCCCAACCTAGGGGTTTCTCTTCCTTTGGCTCAGCAGAGTAGCTGAAATTAATTTGGGAGGTTGAGTATATAAGGGGGAACAGATCAAGGCTATAAAACGTCGCATATTTAAATACGAAAGCCAGGCAGCTTAGCCTTCTGCTGTGTAGACACCAACTGGTTATCTGTAACAATGATATAAGATGATACTGTATCTTTGTAAACAGGATTTTTAATTGACTTTTTGGAGACAGGAAGGGAGAGGGAGAGAGAGGTAGAAACATTGATGTGAGAGCAGTACATTGATCGGCTGTCCCCTAGTGGGGATCAAGCCCGCAACCTGGGCACGCGCCTTGGCTGGGAATCTAACCGGCAACCTTTGGGTGCACGGGGATGATGCCCGACCAACTGAACCACACCGGCCAGGGCTACTGTACCTTTTATATATGTTGGGAAATATATTTTTGTCCTTGATAGAAAAGTTTACTGAACAAACTCAAAGATACGGAGAATAAACTGAAGGTTGCCAGATGAGAGGGAGGTTGGGGGGCTGGGTGAAAAAGGTGAAGAGATTAAGAAATAAAAATTAGTAGTTAAAAATAATCATGGGGGATGTAAAAGGGATAGCACAGGGAATAGAGTCAATAATATTGTAATAACTATTATACGGTGCCAGGTGTGTGCTTGAAATTTCATGTGTGTGGGGAGCACTTCATAAATTATGTAATTATCTAACTACTATTCTGTATATCTGAAACTAATATAAAATAATACTGAATGCTAACTGTAATTGAAAAAAAAGTTAATTGAAATTAAATGTTAGCATATATTCCAGTTAAATGGTATTCTCTCACATCTACTTTAAAAAATCAAGTAAGCTAGCAAATGAGAATAGAAAGTTGAAACAATATCACTTAAGACCAGCAGTAGTTTATAAACTATGACAGTTTAAATGTACTATATTTAAAAGATGCCATAAAAAAACTTCTTGAAAATGCCTATAGAGATCAGGGACTTTGGAAATAGTTCCGTTAGGAAGCACCAGGGTGAGAAAATGGTATCTTTGAGACCTGCTGGAAAATAACCTGGTAGGACGCGGAATGCAGAGAAGACACGGTGGGCTATATGTTGATAAATACTGCAGCTGGGCTTTGTGATATTGTCATCTCTACTGGTTTTGTTTGTTTGAAATTTTTAATAATAAAAAATGTAAATGTAAGTGCTTTAATTAGGATTAGCAGTAACTGCGAAGCTATACGAAGTTAGTAATAGAATATTTTGGTCACTGTATATCAATTGCAGTCTTTAGGGAAAAATATACTATTACCATACACCCTATGATACCATAAACATATGATAGAACCAGGGCACAGTATACTTTTTAAAAATCTGCCAGGTTCATCACTGATGGTAGAGATGAATCTATACTTCAAACCGAACTGCTGAAAACCTGGGGCTTTTGTAAGAAAAGCCATGCATACACGCTAGAGGTCAGGTTAGCCAAGTAAACCTCAAAGCTTCAAGCTTTCAGGTACAGAAATTATGACATAGCTGCCACCATCCATCTGACTTACTATAATGGTAAGAATAGGTAACTTAAAAATAACTTAACTTTGTACATGTGTGAATGGTCCAAGTTTCTTACAAAGAAACAAAAATAACTATTCAATGCTTTAAATACAGACAAAATCAAATACCAGAAGCTGTTGAAATGAAGCACGCTGCCTTGGAAACAAGGAATTTAGCAACTGAAACACAAAGGAAGACTTCTATTTTTAGCAAATTGCTTGTAACTCAAAAAGGCAGGTGGGAGATTTTATTATATGGTACCTACGTCACAAGTCACTGCGAGGATGAAATGAGTTAAATATAAGTGCTTAGAACAGTTCATGGCACAAAGCAGGTGCCATGTATGAGTTAGCTATCCTTACTGCTAGCATTATTATGATGCTGATGCATTACTAATTGTGTTTATTTTCATATGGTAGTATCTGTGATTCTTGGCAAAGCTCAACCAGAAAGCCACGGTGTGCATTCCTGATAGCCATTCACAATCTCCAGGGATTGGAGGGGAATGATGACTTACAAGCAGTTTCCTGAGACACTGAGTTACCTTGAAGGGACTGATTTTATTCCCGTGGCCAACTGACTCTAAGAGTAGCAGAAACACCTTTAACTTAAGACATCTCTCTCTGTTAACTGAGTTTTGGCTTATGTCTTAATCCAAATAAAATTAGGCAAACCCATATGCCATTATAAGCAGATGGTACATAGCCAAAAAAGAAAATAGTACAAACCAGTCTCACCTTCTAAACTCCACAAGCTTCAATTTTGGCTTAAAAGAATAAGGCTGTAACTCTGAAACTGCTTTACCTTTCTTTTCTTTTTTTCCTTCCCCTTTTCTTTACTTTTTTCCAAGTCCCATATAAAATTCTAACATTACTGAAGAACTGAAAAGAAAACTTTAGGGAGCTCACGGTTTTGGAGTCTAGTGTTATATAAACCTGTGTTTGGTTTTATGTTGCCAGGCATGGCTGAAAAGGAAACTGTGGTTCTGTTGTGTAGAAAGTACAGGTTTTCGTAAAAGTGGGAGGAAACAGAACTTCCCCAACATAAGCTGCCCTGATCTGATATCCAGACACACTCCCCCACGCTTCCCCTGCACGGCATCCTATTCCATCAGCCATGTGTGGTGGCTCAGGGCAAAAAAGTCTAAGAAGAGCCAGGGTAGTGAGATCCCCCTTGAGCTTGTTGGTTTCCAAGAATTCCTTAAGTATTTTTTGGTATTGCTATTCACAATGTCAGTAATGACTTTTTACTTTTTAAATAATGAAAGTAATAATTTCCTAATCAGAAGTTTGTGAATTGCACATGTGGTTTCCAATCCACATTAGCTAAAGAAAAATATGAGTGTTTAAGTTGCACCAAGATGGCTCTGTATTATATTCTGGACTGCAGCTGTGAGACTGGCATTTATTTCAGTTTATTCTGGAATGTAAATGGCAAATTTTTCAGCTGTGCTGGCTCATTGACTACATAAAATGCAATACGTAAAAGGGTGATAAAGCAAAAACAAATAAAGACTGATAGATACTGAATAGAAAATAAAGATAAAGAATTACTAAAATTACCTGGATGAAATTTCCATTTTAACTTTACAAATTAAGCCAAAAGTTTTAAAAATTAAGCCCTTTAAAAAAATTACACAAAGAAGTTCATTTTCCAGCTTATCCTGAATAAATTAGTTTGGTTACCAGACAGCTAATGGATACTTTTAAGTCTGGGCTCAAGTCTGTCACAAATACCTTACTCGGGGTAAAATAAAAAGTCAAATTCTATCACAATAAACTCTAGGGATCATTCCAAATTCTTTCTCTGAACAAGAATTCTATTTGAAATCAGTATGGCACTAACTGAACAGTTTCTTTCACCTAACTAAATGAGCAGTTTTGCTGGAACGTATTTGTGGTAAAAGAATTTGAGCCTGGCCAGGCGTGGCTCAGCGGTTGGGAGTCGACCTGGGATCCAGGCCATCAAGGTTCGATTCCCGGTCAGGGCACATGCCCGGGTTGCGGGCTCGATCGATGACTCTATCATTGATGTTTCTCTCTCTCTCTCTCTCTCTCTCTCTCTC